CGGGGTTGCTATGAGTAGGAACTAACTCAACAGTACTTAACAACAGCAACAACCCTACTAGGTGCAAAATTGATTTGGGCATTTGCGTGTCGCTTTGGGGACTTGGTTTTACAAGTCTTAAATGCTTGATGGGCTCCTAGTGTGGATCTCTAGAATGAGCACTGGACCACAAGGTCAGAGGTTCAAACCACCAGCTGCTCCTTGAAAATCCTACGCAGGGTCACTATGAGTCAGAACCGACTTGACAGCACTTAACAAAAATAAATCCTTCATACTGCTTGTTTGTTTAAAGGTGCAAGGCTTACTTTGAAAGAATTTGGGCATCAGAAAAGCAGTGGGTAGACAGTGGTCTGTGACTCAGTACAGTTTCTAAAGGATTGGCACACCAGTGAATGCAAGTTTTTTCTCCATGCATTTTGAGAGGAGGGAGCAGTGGTGATGGGCACTCCCTATTTCTTTCTCTGATTATGCTCAAATGATATTTCACTCTCTGGGAGCCTTCCACTAACCTTTTCTAGGAAACTGATTGTTAGTTGCTGACAAGTTAGCTGTGACTCATGGTGACAACGGAATGAAACATTGCCTGATTCAAGTTCATTGTTCTGGCCACTGTGGATGTTGAGTGTCTTCCAACCTAGGGGCTCATCTCCCAACACTCATCAGACAATATTCTATTGTTATCCATAGAGAATTCAATGACTAAGATCTACACTTTCAGAAGCAGATCTCCATGTCTTTCTTCCTAGTCTCTCTTAGTCCAGAAGCTCCACTGACACCTGTCCACCATGGGTGAGCCTGCTGGTATTTGAAATACCGATGGTATAGCTTCCAGAATCGCAGCATTGTATAAGCCACCACAGTATGACAAACTGAGAAATGGGTGTTGGTCTGATAAGCTGGGTCCCCTAAATAGGCTAATTAGATTCCAAATGTTTCCCCACCCCCCTTTCAGCCCTGGCAAACAAATACACAAGCCACTTGGGGCAGCTTCCACCATGTCTACCTCTTCCAGTGAAGCCTCTGGAGCCTCCATTTCTACTCTGGTCATTTTAGCTGGGAACCGAGCGCCTGGGAGGGTTCCCTCACTGAGATACTTGCACACAGCAACCTCGCCTGCCAATTTCTTCAACTCCAAAGAGAGATACTGGCCCTTTTCCTCACAAGAAAAGCTCTTGCTGCGAGAGATTTGTCCAAGTGGGTATCACAAAGGTTTGTTCTGAGCTGAAAAACTGGCACCAAGGTCTCTCTGCCAGTGAGAAACGTTAGAATTAAAGACATAATGATACTAATTAACTTCCCCATGCCCATGCTTTTAGCATTTATTATTTGTATAGAGATAAAGCCTTCAATAACAGGGCCAGCCTCTTTGGGAGCCCTGCTTCGGGGGGAAAGGCAATGCCCTCATTATAGCAAGTAAGATGGATGGTGTTCTGAGATTGTGGGACATCCCCCAAGGATAACCTACAAAAGTGCAGCCTCCTTCCAAGCCAGGCCTGTGTCCTAGGGATGTGGCTTTCTCCCAGCAGAGTGTAGAGGGGAGGGATGGCTAGGGTATGTGGAAGGAGAGGAGCAATTTCCAGTGATGTGGCCTCTTGTAATGTTCAGGTCCTTGGCAATTGGGGCCTTTATGGGTTTAGTGAGGAAGCCATGCAGCAAAAGTGCTGACCCTGACCGCTGTGATTGTGGACAGTTCCTCTTGCCAAGTGCACAGTCATGTTGTGAAGATATTATCTCATGAGAAAAGATGTCCTGGAGACCTGTCATCTATGAATGGGGGGAGGGAGAAATTAGATCACAAGATTTTTTTACAGGCTTCAAAGAGTCCTTAAAGTTTCTAAAAGAGTTACATGCAAAAAAATGTTGAGTGTGCTTCTGGGCAGTTTTCAAAGGAGAGCACTCATTGCTTGCCTCTGATCCTCCCAAAATTGAGGTCTACTGAGATGTTACCCCAAGGACCCACCTTGCTTGTTCAGTCCGTAGTTTTAGAATGGCTAAATCTAGTGCATTTTGCCAGAGCATTCAAACTAAGCAGCAGGTTTGTAGAGATGGATAGTGGATACTTGAGTTGTACTATAAAGTGGCTGTATAAAGTTTCCAAGGAGTGGCTGGTGGGTTTGAGCTGCCAACCTTGTTGTTAGCAGTCTAGTGCTTATTCAACAGTGCCACACCAGGGCTCTAACACTCAAAGTAACCTCCCAGTTGTTGTTGTTGTTGTTGTGAAGTGCCATCGTCGGTTCCGATCCATAGCGGCCCTGTATAGGGTTTCTGAGGAGCAGCTGGTGAGCATGAACCACCAATCTTGCAATTCAAGCAGCTTTGCAGTCTGGCTCATTAACCCACAGCGCCACCCCAGGACTCCCAACCTCCCAGTAAGGCTCCCAAAATGACGTGGCTCTAGTGTCCCCACTTCTACTGAAGTAGCTCTGAGAAGCCTGGCTTCCCTCCCAGGTTTTCCTTAACAAAACACCCCCAGGACAAATCTGGGGTTAATCCTAGAGACCCCTTCTGCTCTTGGACAGCCAAGGTGATTGCCTTGCAAAACTAGTGTCTCTAAGCTTGATGCCTGCTAACTCTTTTACCATCTTCCATACACCCAACAGCCTCTCAACTTTCACTCAGAGCAATCTACAGTGTCAATCAGTGGTGTCTCTCATTTGGACTTTTACTAATAATTTAGTAATCTTGAGTTTGACTCTTTGGAATGTTAGACAAATTCTCCCAGAGAACTTGGAGGTATTCTGGGAGTAAACCAAAATAAATCTTTTGGAGAATTGAGACATCTAGGAAGGTTCTGGGAGACTGATTCCCAGGACTGCCCAAGAATTGGGTAAGTTTTGCCTCCAGCCAGGTGTTTGCAGGCTCTCTTGGGTTTCTACTGTTTTCCATAATAGCCCCTTTGCTCTAACCTAGAGTCTACAGATTCTGGAAGGTTCATGAACTTGAATGGGAAATAACTGGATCCTCTAACTTCTAACTAAAATCGCATGATGTTATTTCTTTGTGAATCCAGGCAAGAAATGACAGTAGCATTAGCGTTTTGTGACTGTGTTACCATCAGAAACCTTGAATACATTCAAGGTATCCTGTGAATACATATCACAGGATATCAAGACACACATGTGTTCTGTGTTGCAAATGTATCTTTTAAATATTTTGATAATTGTACTCAAACATAATTGGTTTATTTTGAAACTCTTTTATTTTTCATATAAAACATTATTCTGAGAGGCAATCCAGGTATCACCAGAACTACCAAAGGTGTCCAGAGCATAGGAAAGGTTGTTGTTGTTGTTAAGTGCCATCGAGTCAGTTTCAACACCTAGCAACACTCTAGAGGGTTTCTGAAAAGCAGCTGGTAAGCTTGAACCACTGAACTTGCAGTTCAAACCAACTTTGCAGTCCACCACATTTACCCACAGCGCCACACCAGGACTCCGTGTTGTTATTGTTGTTGTTAGGCGTCATTGAGTCAGTATCGACTCATAGCGACTGTATTCACAACAGAACGAAACCTTACAGACCCCAAAATTGACCATACCCTTTTCAATCCTGTGCTCCTTATGTCTGGGTCTTATGGAAGTCACTCCAGGCTTATGTGTGAGTGTCTGGGATAGGGAAATAGAACTCAAGAGGAGGCTGTAGGGTCCAACTCTGTGTGCATTAAGAGTTGAAACCAATCCCTACAAGGAAGGGTGCCAGACTTGGCAAATCCTAGGGTGTGTTTTGCCCCAGCACTCTTTACTCCCCTATTAAGTAAGTAGATAACACATGAGTATTTAAAAGGAACTTGCTTCAAAATGGGTCTGATTGATAGAGCTCATCAAAATCTGAAGATCAGTTGATTTGTTTAGTCCCCTCTAAGCTGTTCCTTAGAGTCCTGGAGGAGGGAGGAAGCCATTCAGCTCTGGGATAAGGCTTGACTTATACTGCTCGTAAGTAGGAGTCCTCGTGCAGTGGTATAGGATAAGCTCTGGACTGCAAGGTTGGTGGCTCAAATCCACCAGGTGCTCCTCAGAAACCCAAAACGGGGTCACTATGAGTTGAAACCAACTCGACAGCACTAAACAACAGCAGGTTAGTAAGTAGGAGGGGCAGTGTATACTAACAGTTAGGGTCATGGACTCGATGGTAAACTAGAACTAGGTGCTAAGTTTGGATTAAGTCCTCATGCTATCACTAACTAACCAGGCAAGTTATTTAACTTCCTTGGGCTTTAGCTCTCTCATCCATAAATGGGGCCGCTGTGCTGTTCAGGGTGACCCGGATTATCATAAGCACTGGAAGTCCTGGTGGAGCAATGGCTAAAGTTCAGATGGTTAACCAAAAGCTTGGTGGTTTGAACCCACAAGGCGCCATCCAGGGAAAAGGACCTAAAATCTGTTCCTGTGAAGATTGTTGTTGTTAAGTGTTGTCTGTCACATTGGTTCCGGCTCATAGCAGCCCTGCATAGGGTTTACGCGGAACAATTGGGGAGCTTGAACCATCAACCTTTCAGTTCAAAGTGACCTTTTGGTTGAGTGCTTCTCCTACAGCGCCACACCAGGACTTCCAAGAAAATCTTATGGGCTAGATCTACTCTATCACACGGGGTCACTGTAGTCAAAACAGATTCAAAGACACCTAACAACCACAATGGCATATTGCTGTTGTCATATGCCAACAGCCGTTGTAGCACTTGGAAGGCTCTGGAAAAGGAAGAAATAAAGAGTTCTCCAAGGTGGAGTCCTGGTGAAAATAAGCACTGTACTAGCCACAAGGTCAGCAGTTCAGATCTACCAGCGTCTCTTCATAAGCCCTACACATAGTTGCTATGAGTCTGAGCCAGCTTGACGGCACTTAGCAACAGCCAACAACCACAAAGGAATGGAGAACAGTGGAGACAGGCACTTAATGCAGGGGCCCGGCACATGCTTTCTACCTGATCTTACTGCCAACCTCCTAACCACCAGCTCTTGTGTGTTAAGAGATCAGCAGTGTGGCCTCAGACCTTTATGGGATAGGAATGTGCTCTGTGTCCTTGTTCTCTTAGTGATAGTGTCTTCATGTCTGGTTGAGCAAGGGGTCAGCTGGGATCCGGAATAAACCCATGCAGTTATAAATAGGAGGCATACATTCCCAGACAGAGAGGAGGGGGAGCCAATGAGACAGCAAAATAAGTTGGAAAATTTCACTGCCTCATCTGTAATGATAATGTTAATAGCAATAATAATCAGCACAAGAAAGGATTTTGTATCTGAGCCAGGGCAAGAGAAAGGAGCCTTTCCCCCATGCCTCCCTGGGAAAGACACTCAAACCACGTCAACACAAGAGGAACCAAAAATATAGCTAAGTGCCCTTTTCCCTAGAAGCCTTTTGGAGAAACTGGTACAAGATAAAGAAGTCATGGCAGCACAAAGGGTCTGCGCTCAGCTACTATCAGAAAGGTCGGTGTATGGAACCCACCAGCCACTCCGCTGGAGAAGATGAGGCAGTCTGCAGCTGTCCTCTGTCCTAGAGGGTCCTCATGAGTCAGAATTAGCTAGAGGGTCCACTGCAGACTGCGCCAAGAGGGCAGAAGAAGCCTCCCAGACCTCAGTTTATCTATCAGTTTTAACTTCCTCTTTTAATCACTTCTGAAGAGCAGCTAATGAGCAGGAAATCGAATTGATTAGCATTTCACCCCCTGGCTTCCCTTTCTGCCAAAGGAGCTAATAATGAACATGGAAATCAGAGATCCTTAGGGTGCAAGGTCCTTAAGAGATCCTATGATTGACACCCCTACCTAGAGGACCTCATCTGAACCCCAGCAAACTGATAAGCTCTTTGAGGTTTTTAATGCCCTCCAGACAAGCTAATTTTCTTGTCTATTGATAACACCAGTCCCTGGGTATAAACTGTTAGCAAGGTTGGTAGTTCAAGAGTATCCAGAGGCGCCTTGGAAGAAACATCTGCAGGTCTAATTCTCAAAAGTGCAGTTCTATTCACGCACATGCATTAATTAGAGTAAACTTGATGGCAACTTTATTTTTAATTTATTGATAACACACCACCCAAATTAGCAGCAGTGCCATTGAAGGAAACCCTTCCAAGAAACCTAAGTTCTGTTGCCTGCGCCCATCTTCTTGCCCTGCTGACCACTGTCTTTTTTGCAAAGAACCCTTGTGGCACAATGGGATAAGTGCTGGTCAGCTAATCAAAAGGTCAGCTGTTTGAAGCCACCAGCTACTCCACTAGGAGAAATACAAGACTGTCTGCTTCCTTGAAGATTTACAGCCTCAGAAACTTTAGGGAGCTGTTCTCCTCTGTCCTATCTGGTATCTATGGAGCGGGTGGGTCTTTTCTGCTAGAGGTTCTATTCTCGAAGATCATCATTAAATATCATTTCCCCTGTCTCTTCTCCAGACGGCACAGTCATGCATACTTCACTCTTTCAATGCAACTTGTTTTTTCTGACCCCGATCACCTTGTTTTGTTGTGTTGGATTCTCCCTACTTTGATTATGGGTCCTTAAATTAGGTGTACAATCCAATTAAGGCTCTAGCAAAGCTGGGTACGAGTAGAGGGGCTCTCTCATACCCTGCTGCCTCTCCCTTCTTCCCAACAAAAACTAGATGCTTATATTCTCCAATCCACAACTCTTTTTCAACCCCAATCTCACATATTCCTTTCTCCATTTTGTGTGTAAACCCTTCGCCCCTACTCCCCCTTTCTTGATGGACCATCTTGCACTTTCCCTTAGTTGAGCTGTATGAGAGAAATGTATGGGAAGCTACAGAAGAGCAAGTTGCCTAGACAACCAAAGACCTGGGTTACCAGCCTTGTGAAGCTCTAATCCTTCCCTGGCATGGTATGGTGCCAGTCAGGGACACTGCAGGGTACAGAGAATCTCTGAAGGAGAAGCATTGCCGAGTCTTCACTAGAAATTCCTTTGCAATCTCAGCACAAAGCAGAGACCTCATTTTTAGCAAACTCTTTGTAACGTTTTGGTTCTCTGGAATTTATTGCAAGAGTGTTAATCCAAAGAGTCTGTCTTTTCCTCACCATACTGGAATATCCCATCTGGAAAGAGGTCCAGGAATGGTCAGCCTCAGGCACTGGAAGCCAATCAATTGTGAAAAGAGAGTGAGGTGGAGAAAGAGACAGGCAAGTGCTGGAAATCACTGTCAACGAGCTGATGACTTACAAAGACGCAGTCTGGATTCCCAGACTAAATGAGGTTTTAGACCCATAACAGGTTGTAATTTGAGTCATATAGGAAGTTAAGAAAGTGAAAACATGAGCACATGCCAGTGTGATCAAATCATAGTCTCCAGGCTGGAAAAGACTTTAGCTGCATTTGCTTTAACTCCTTCAGTTTAGAGATGGGAAAACCAGCGTACCCAGGCTCACACAGCTAGTTACTGCAGAACAGGGCCAAAGAACCATCATCCCTGAATTTTCTGTCCTGCTCACTGCCTTCCTCTCGTTCAGCAATGAATCTCACTTCAGACAGACTATAAGAAACAGTTGCCTCAGGTTTCTCATTTCCCACTAACAAATCAATTGTTTCTTTTTCCCCCTCACCTTGATTCTACAGCACCTGACACCCACCGGCAGCTACCTCTAGTACTGCCTTCCATAGCTTCCCTCACGTTGTCTTGGTTAAGTCCCTTCCAACTTTGCCAAGAAAATTAAAATCATCTCTTGACTAGTCGCCCTGCCGCCTTCCAGTCTCAACTCAGCTGGAGTGACCTTTGGAAGTACAACCCTGATGAAAATAATTTCTCTATTTAAAATTCTTAAGATCTTTCAGTGGCCTTGATTGACCCGAGGATAGTAAGCAATTTCTTTAACATGGTTTACCAGTTAGCTAAGCATTTTCAACCCTGGATGTATATGGGAAGCACTTAAGGGTCTTTTAAAAATTACCAGGGCCTGAGCTTCATCCCTAGAAATTGTATGTGTTGTCTGGACAGGGCTAGTGGTGTGCTAGAGCTGAAGCCAGCCCCTACTGGCTCAGGAGAGCCAATTGTTACATTTTCAGGAATTTTGTGAATCACTTGTTAAACACAGCCATTATTAAAATTAGATTACATAGACTTCCATTTAAGTGAATTACATTAAGAACAAAGGTAATAAATACTCAAAATTCATCACTTCCTAATTAGTCTATTACATTATACTATTAGCTCTGCTGTTGAAGTTGTTTACATCTATTATATCTGTGTGGTACAAATACCATATAGTAGGATCTTACTGCTCATCTCTTCCAGACTCTGCCTTCAGTGATGCCTCATTGATAGCTTGGAGTTAGCCACAGTGGAAGTATTTACCACAAAAATTGGCCCAAAATAGCACCAACAAAACTCACATTACCTTCGCTTGAGTCGATTCCGATTCATGTTGACTCTCTGTACTGCAGGGTAGAACTGCTCCATGGGTTTTCTTAGCTGTAATCTTTTCGGAAACAGGTCTCCAGGCTTTCCTTTCATGGCACACGGCCGCATGGGTTCAGAACCAAGAACACAGCAAGCGCAAACTATTTGCGCTACTCAGTGACCTTATGAAAACTGGAAATGCTACAAATCAGCACCCACTTCCTACTCATTCATTCAATATTTACAAGCATACATACCACTGGATGGAGTCCTGGTATGGTGCTGCGGAATAAAGCACTGTAGCACAATGTTGGTTTGAACTGCAAGGTCAGTGGTTCAAACTCACCAACCACTCCTTGGAAACCTTATATAAGATCGTTAATGAGTCAGAACTGATTTCATCGTGCTTAACCACAAAATACCACTGGATGGGACTCTGGTTTTGACATTAAAAAAAAAAAAAAAAACTCCCCATGTGATTCCAATGTGCTGCTGGAGTTTCGTTCTTCATTCAGCTCATATCTGGCCCCTCCACTCCCTCCCTCCCTATCTGAATCTCTTTAAGAACCTCCACCCTGCTCTCAACTTTCTTCAGTCCAGCTGCACAGAAGCCCCTGAATATGTCCAAATATGTCATGTTATTTCCTGCTTGTGTGTTTTTGCTCCTGGATACACTGTTTCTTCTGGCTGGAATGCCTCCTTACTTCCTTGTCTACCTGGTCTTTCAAACAGAGTTCAAGAGCTCATCCTCTAGACTTGAGCGTCCTCCATTTATATGAGGTAGCTTAAACCACAGGAAGAAAGACTATTCATTGTCAAGGAAGAATGAATAGAGTAAGGAGAGCATAGGACCTCATAGAACATCAGTATTTTATAAATGGACCGAGTACAAAGAGCTGAGGAAAGGAAGGATGTGTAGTGGACAGAAAGGTTGGGAGAAAACCAAGAGTCATGGACACCAAGAAGACAGTACTGGAAGGAGTGAGTGGAGATCAGAGTCGCATGCTCTTACTGAAGGGAGAAGTCAAGTCAGGTAAAATGACTGAGGTATAGCCATTGGATTTAGGCACATTGGCAGGAATTTCAGTGGAGTGATAGGACTTTTCTTAAAAGGTGAGAGGTGAGATGATAGGGACAAGCCTATGACATTCTTCAGGACATTGGGCTGGAAAGGAGAGGGATGCAAGAGGGCACTCAGTATATGGAAGGTGATGTTGTGAAATCCAGGTAGGCTTTCTGTTTTATTTTGGGTTTTTTGATTTTTTTTGGGGGGGTGGGGTTGGTTTGATTTTGTTTTGTAAGGAGGAAAGTCAACCTAACTAAATTTGGGGTAAAATGTAAGATTCATTTCTATGAATGAAGGAGTATGACCTTTTCATGGGAGCAGTGCAATATGTCTTTTTGCAACCCCTGTGTCTAACCTAATAGATATTTAGAATTGTCAGAGATGTTGCCTTGCTTAGCCTCATTTCACTGATGACTGCTCCTGCAGATTCTCCATTGCCTCCTAATTGTCCACACTTTGGGCCTTCATTTTTCTTTTCCTGGACAGATTTTTAAAATGAGCCTCCTGTCACCAGCCTTTCGGTGGCATCATTAATTCCGAGTGTGTGTCTTTGTCTGGTTCTCTGCCTGCCCGCCTGCTCTCATTCTCTGTAGCCCCTCTGGCATCAAGTCACTTCATCCCTCTCCTTTTTCTTTTCTGGGCAAATTCCAGCCAGTTAGAATGTACTTGCTTAGTTCCTTCTTCTCTGATTCCTCATTTATCAGAGTTTACAGGAAACTGCCTAGGGTGCCTCCTATTCCTAGGCTGAGGAAATTAAAATGGCTGAATTTTTATTACAGTTTCTCTCAAGAACATGCCTAGAAATCACAGCACCTAGAACCTTGATTACTAAAGTAGAAGCTCAGTAGATAGAGGTCATCTAAACCATTCCCTTAGTGAAGGCAGTTCATTGTCGAAACTCTCCATTAATAGACCTTTAAGATTTCTATGTAAAAGATCCCTAAAACTTGGGCCTCATCATTAGAATGACTATAATTTAGCATCCAAACATGGATACTTGCAAATTGCAACTGTCCTAGGCAAGTCATTATAGCATATAGCATATACATATGATAAGTATGATGGATTCAACCTGAGAAAATATTTTTGACTGTTGTGATCCATGGATGAATAATATCCAGTTCTTGACTTGAAAATATACTAATCCAGATGTCCAACAACAGGTGGATGATGGGTGAACAAAATGTCATACATTCATATAATGGAATAATACTTAGCTATAAAAAGGAACAAAATACTGGTATATGCTACAACATGGTTGAATTTTTAAAACATAAAGCTAAGTGAAAGAAGGCAGATACAAAAGGCCACATAGGATATGATTTCATTTTTATGAAACATCCAGAATAGGCAAATCTATAGAGACAGAGAGCCGATTACTGGTTGCCAAGAGCTGATGGAGGGGATGATGGAATGTGGTTGCTTAATGGGTACAGAGTTTCTGTTTAAATTGATGAAGAAGTTCTGAAACTAGATAGTGGTGAAGGTCGTAAGCATTGCGAGTGTACTTGTTGTTGTTAAGTGCCATCGAGTCGGGTCCGACCCATAGCGACCCTGTACAGGGTTTCCGAGGGTGTAAATCTTTACGGGAGTAGAAAGCCTCATCTTTCTCCCGCGGAGCGGCTGGTAGTTTCGAACCGCTGACCTTAAGGTTCGCAGCCCGATTCGTAAGCTGCTAAATTGTACACTTGACAGTGGTTACAGTGGAAACTTGTATGTAATATTATTTCACTACTATGAAAATGTTTTAATGTGCTAAAAATCTGTTAGGAAAGACAGACACAAATACAGTTCACCATCATTCAGATTGATACGCAGTGGCTTTATGAACACAGTTCTTTGGGAACACAGTAAATATGCTTAGTGTTAATTGGAGGGTTAAAGAGTCTGAGGAGGTGACATACAGCTAGGCTTTGGAGAATGATTGGCATTTCTCTGGGTGTAAGTTTGTAGGGGCTGGGTAAAATGTAAGATATGACCAGAAAAGGGTACATGTGTAGATGCACAACAGATGGCGGGGAATAATGTGAGAAAATGGATTAGGGCCATGCTTAGGAACTTTAACTTTTTGGTTGTTGAAATCAGGTGCTGTCAAGTCGGTTTCAACTCATAGCAACCCTTTGTAAGGGTTCCCAAGGAGCTACTGGTATGCTTGAACCACCAGCTTTGTGGTTAGTAGTCCAGTGCTTCCTATACAGTGCCACACCAGGACTCTTTAATCTTTTGGATTAATTCCATGCATTTATGATATGTTCTTGTGTGAATGTAAGGTCTTAAGCAAGGTTGTGCCATTCTGTAGTTTAGCAACACATCTGGAGAGAAAGTATGGAGTTCAGAGTAGGGGATGACTGGAACTGGGGAGATCAGCTTGAACCCACCACACAGCAGTAGAGATGTGGTGGCATTGCCATAGAAGACAGAGAGGAAGAGATAAATTACTAGAGAGAACTTGACAGTTGGCGAATGAACTTGACGACTGAAGTGAAAGAATAGGATACAAAGATGCCAAGATCTAGAGAGTCTACTTTGGAGCACCAAGAAGATGTGACTTCCATTCATTGAGACAAAGAGTAATAAATGAGCAAGGTGGGCATATGTTGAGTTGCTTGTAGTACATCAACATGCAGACATCATGAAGGCTTGTATCTATAGGTTTGGGATTTCTGACAAGTTCATGATGGAAATACAAGTTTCCCAGTGACTGGACTGAAGACATGAGAGGGAGGGGATGAGATCACTCAAGGGAAAGGTATAGAATGGAAGGACTTCGAGACTCAGGATTGATATTTGGGAAACAACTTAATCCCCCAAAAAGTGGAGTCGTGAAAGTCTCTTCAGAAGGAAGAGCTGGCAAGGTAGTGGAAAAGTAAGAGGAGAACCATCATGAAAACCAGGACAGAAGAAAGCTCAACGAAGCCAATACCGTCCAAGAGGAGACCACTGGGTTCCAGAATGAGATGGGGATTTGGAGATCATGAACAGAGCAGCTTAAAGTAAAGGGATTGGGCAGGAGCCATGCCTACAGTGGAGGAGGTAGAGAGAGGAGGGTAGGCTACGCTGTTAAAGCATTTGGAGTGGAGGCCAAGCAGAAAGTTAGGACAGAAGCTTGAAGGTGTGCTGAAGTTTAACAAAAAAAATATATTTCTTTGCAGGTTAAAGGAGTCTTGAACACTTCTGTAGGCTGTTGGAAAAAGGAGGTAACAACTATAGTTAGTAAGAGAGCAATAAGATGAACAAGATCTGAAAAGAGGTAGGAAGAAAGTGGGAGAAAATACGGGGGAAAGGAACTTGTCCATGGAAGAAGCTCTTCTTTCATAAATGGTGTCAGTATCTTATGCCTTATTTTGAGGAAATCCGTCTTTTAAGCAAATTCCTTAAAAACACCCACTCTGGGCTCTTTGGCGTAAAGAAGACTTATCCTTTTTGTAGACGTGTGCTGCCCAACACATTATCGAGTAACTATTTAAATTAAAATTAATTAACATTAAATACAAATAAAACTTCAGTCATCCAGTCATACATAGAAGCCATGTGGTTCCTGGCTGCCATATTGGACAGCACATATATAGAATATTTCCATCATCCCAAAAGGTTCTCTTGGACAGTGCTGCTCCAGACTTCACCACATTTCATCTTCTTCCCAGTCCTGCTTTTGGAATTTCTTGTGTGCTAGCAGTGTTATTAAGGAGTTCTGGTAGCGTAGAAGGAGCTCTGGTAGCGTAGTGGTTACGAATCGGGCTGCTAACCTCAAAGTCGGCAGTTTGAAACTAGCAGCCATTCCACGTGAGAAACATGAGGCTTTCTGCTCCTGTAAAGATTTACAGCCTCGGAAACCCTGTTCAGGGTCTCTGTGAGTTGGAACCGATTCCACGGTACGTAACAACAACAGCAGCAGCAGCAGCAATGTTATTAGGAGTCCTGATGTCACCGTGTAGGATAAAAACTGGATGGCTAACCACAGAGTTGGTAGTTCAAACCCACCAGCCTCTCCTTGGAAACTCTCTACAGGGTTGACATGAGTTGGAATTGACTCAACATCGCTTTACAACAACAACAGCAGTGGTATCTAGTTTTCCCAATGCAACTCTGAAGTAAAGAAAGCCAAATGATATTTTATTATATATGCTGAAAAATTTTTATAGTTTAAAAATTAACATTTTCCTGAAGTAGCTCAAAAAAGGGAACAAATCTTTACAGTAAGGATCATGCCCACCCCTTCATACACAAGAATAGACAGGTTTGGGCAACTTGGACATTGGCTGCCCAAAATGGGGGGCCTTCAAAGGCAAGAAGTGACTGGCTTACAAGAATTCAAGAGGGAGCCTTGGATCCAGAGGGTGTGGAGGAAGGTAGAATCTCCACTGAGTAGTATCCAATATGTCTGGGCAGGGCTGATGCAGATAGGTCTCTTGTGGTACAATAGTGAATAATTGTTATCAGGACTGACTGTGAGGGTTGGAAGTGTAAAGGTAGACGTTTTGTAGCAAAAGGAGGGGAGTGATTGACTTTGCAGGCCAGGAGCGGAGGTCCCTGGGACCATCAATGGAGAAAAGCGGAGAGCGGAACCCTACCCAGAGAAGCAGTGACGCCAGAGATGGAGGCAGAGACGATGACATGAAGAGATGGAGCGGCTAGGGACTTTAGACCCAGAGAAGGAGAGGGGCTGTGTGCTGATGACCGGGGGGTGGGAGTGAGGGTCAGACTTGCAGTTGTTTGATGATGCATGGAGGGGAATTGTAACCATGGCAATGAAACATTATATGATAGGATGAATGTAAAGCTAATGTTCTCCCATGTGAACTATCACATAATTCACAATAAAACGTTTAAGAAATAAATAAATACAGCACAGGCAATAAAAAAAATTAACATCTTCCCCAGACATTGACCTATAATTAATGGTTTCATGATGTTAAATGAGAGATGTAAATAAGTGGATTATTTCTGATGAACAATTGATTGTCTTTTATAGTTAACCATTCTAGCTGTTTCCATTTGCTAATTAGCCTTTGTGCATTCATAGTAACTTAATGTTTCTAATTTTTTTAAACTTATGTGCTTATTAGAAAAATTTGGCAACATAACTTCTTCCTTCCAGGAAGCTACAGGGACCCTGCTAGCTTTCCACCTGTCTGGGCACTTTGAGCAGACCATGTCAGCTGGTGGAAAGAGAAAGCATCTGATTGTCAGAGCATGGAGTGGACCTGTTGGGTGGTGGCAGATTTCTTAGAAACCACTGTGTTTGGGCTCAGGCCTAGGGCATACTTTTTGTTTCTCCTTAAGCTCATTTATTTCCCTTTTCTCCTTCAAAAGGAATTTGTCTCTGGATGATTTGATGTCTCAAAGATGCTTGTGTTTAAAAATGTCTTTGCATTGTTGTATGTGTGGCATGACTTGAACTCCTCACATCTGGCTGGAGAAATGTTAATGAGGCCCAACTTGTACTGTTTAGTTCCCCAGTGGCCTTCACCAGGGAGAAAGGAGCACATTGGCTGAATATACTCAGGGACTAAAGATATTGCCTTATGAATGAGAGCTTTTCTTCTTGTCTATCTGGCTTTAAGCATTTGCTTAAACTCCTAGGAAAATTCTTATCCAATAAATCCTTACCTAATAAAAATCCTTTGTCAATGGTAACTAATTAACCATTAACTAATGTTAACCCTCTGGCGTCCTGGTGTGGCGCTGTGCGTTAATGCACCAGTCTGTAAAGCCATTTGAACTGCAAAGTCAGTGTTTCAAGCTCACCTACGCCTCCTCAGAAACCCTATGCAGGGTTGCTATGGGTCAGAACCGACTCGATGACACTTAACAACAGCAACAACCCCCTAGCACTAATACAGCAAAGTATTGCGGTACACTTCAAGCCCCAAGTGGTACATGCCCCTCAGCCAAACATCACTCCTACAGTTCACAGGCACTCAAAGTGCATAGCCTCATAGCCTGACACCGAAGCTATACCTTCAACTTGCCCAGAAATTTGGGCTCAGAAGAGAAGTAAGGCCTCTAGACAAGCACTTCACAACAAGGACTGCCTGATCAACTGAGCTGGGACCGAAGAGGCTGGTCTGAGAAGATCTGGGCCTCTGACACCCACTCCTCCAGGTTCTCACTGATGAAATCCTTCTCATGAAATCCTGGCTCAGCCTTTAAACTTGTTGTGTGACCTTGGGTATATGGTAGAAAGAGCTTTAGGATCTGGCAACCCTGGGTTCTAATTTCACCTCCACACCTTGCTAACTGAAAGATTTGGAGCAAACCACTGAATCCCTCTAAGCCTCGTTTTCTGGTCTCTAAAGCAAGATTTGTTGTTGTTGCTGTTAAATGCTGCTGAGTTGGTTCCAATACCTAGCGACTGTATAGGGTTTCCGAAGAGCAGCTGGTGGATTTGAAATGCCGACATTGTGGTTCAAACCAACCTTGAAGTCCAGTGCTTATCCTACAGCGCCACACCAGGACTTGATTTGCAGGGTTGATATGGAGATGAATTGATGTCTATCAAAGGTCTGACACAGGAGCCTAATAGATGTTTATTCCCCTTATTCCCTCAGGGTTAAAATTCTTGTTGGGCCCTGACTTTCTCACAGATAAGGTGATAAGAACTAAATTTCTGTCATCCCAACAACCGTTCAGGGTGAGTTTATACCTGTGAATTAGACTGAAACAGGAAACTGAGAAAACAGCTACACTATTTTCTCATAGTCTCAGGGCAGGATGGTGGGGCAGTCTGGAGGCCACAGCACCAGGACTTAGTCAGATCCTGTAGGATCCAGTCTAGTCCTCCAGGGTCCAGTGTAATCCTCCAGGATCCAGTCCAGTCCTTCAGAGAGTGGCTTCCCTCTGTGGTGTGAACATAGGACCAGCCCCCTATCACAGAGTAAACCCTAACACAGCCATGAGAAATGCAGGTTTTGGAACCTCAGGCCTTGAAAGAAATAAGTATGACTGCTTTTGTAAGATAAGCAACTGGAACGCTAACTGTAAGGTCGTCGATTCAAACCCACCAGCCATTCCTTAGAAACTTTATACAGGGTCACTATGAGTTGGAACTGACTCAACAGCACTTAATAACAACAACAACATAAAATAAACCTTTCTGTATACCTTGATGCTTCATTTTCCAGGGAATAAGCAGAATAAATCTGGAGCCCCTATGTACACCTTGAAGTATAAACCTTTTAGTTAACTACACAATAAGTAGGTCCCCTGCTACCTGGAGAAAATGACCATCTGCTCTTCTTGGTGGAAATTGTTGTTGTTATGTGCTGTGGAGTCAGTTCCGCCTCATAGCAACCTTTTACAGGGTTTTCGATGCTGTAAATCTCTATGGGAGCAGAATGCTTCATCTTTCTCCCGCGGAACAGCTGGTAGTTTCGAACTGCTGACCGTGAGGTTTGCAGCCCAATTCGTAACCACTATGCTACCAGAGCTCCTTTGGTGGAAATTATGTCCTCCTATTTACTGTGTGTGGAGTCCTGGTGTGGCACTGTGGGTTAATACGCTGGACTGCAAGGTTGATTTGAACTGCAAAGTCAGTGGTTCAAGCTCACCATCCACTCCTTGGAAACCCTATCCAGGGTCGTTATGGGTCATAACTGACTCAACAGCAGTTAACAGCAACAATTTTCTGTATGTAGTGTTATAGGATAAACACTGAACTTAGAACCACAAGGTTGGCAGTTCAAACGCACCAGGGAGACAGGACAGAAAGACTTCCTGTCTTCAAAAGCTTTATACAGGGTTGCTATGAATCTGAACTGACTCGGCAACACTTAACAACAACAGCAACAGCACTTACTGTACATGTAGTGTGCTCAGTACTATAAATCCTGGGAGAGGGCTCTTGGAGGCTTATCCCTTTCTGCTGGAGTTGGAGACGTGGGTGGAGCAGAGCAAGGGGCAGCAAGAGTGGAGGGATGAGAAGTGGAAGGCTCTTACCAGAAGGGTTTTCCATACCTTAGACTATTAGGATAAGGGGCAAGGGTCCACTGCCAGGGGAAACAGAAATTAGTGACAACCCAATCCGTCTCCAGTTAGATATTGGAATGTTTTAGTTTCCGTTTATAATTTGATTGGATGTGCCATAAATGACATCTGCAAAACTAGTTTGGGTTTAGACTTTGGTTCAGTTAGGATCCAAATTCTTCACTCTGTGAACTTTGCTAATTTCTTATGTTTGTGTTTCTTTTCTTTTTCTTAGTTTCCTATTTCATTGTTTTTTAAAACGTTATATTGTGATCTGGGTGAAAGTTTGCAGAGCCAATTGGTCTTCCAGTAAATAAGTCATACATTTTATGTTTCAAACTCTAGCCTTATTTTAGCCGAATAAAGGAAAAAAGGCCTTTTCTATGGTTCTTAAGAGAAGTAGGAGGAGCCCTAGTAGGGTTGTGGGTTAAACACTTGATTGTTAACAAAAAAGTCAGCGGTTCCAACCCAACATCTGCTCCACAGCAGTAAAACGCAGCACTTTGCTTCCATAAAGATTTACAACTTTGGAAACCCTCTGAAATCCTTCTACTCTGTCTGGTAGGGTGGATGTGAGTCAGAATCCACTGAGTATCGGTGGGAATCAGTGTGCCCCTAGTGGTCACAGGTGGTAGCTACAGTGAAACGTAGCTGAGTCTCTCCTAGCCCTGGAATTGTCTAGTACTCTAATTTTCGAGGCTATAACTGTTTCTTTCTTCCTGTCTAGGATCCTGGTGTGGTGCTAAGTAGGATAAGCACTGGACCACAAGGTTGGCAGTTCAAACTTACCAGCAGATCCTTAGACGCCCTATACAAGGTCGCTATGATTTGGAACTGACTCAACAGCACTTAACAACAACAGGGTTTTTCAT